GATGGTATATTTTTTGTTACAATCAGAGTACAAATCAAAAAGTTATATCACTTCAAAGAAAACAGGAGATATTTATTTGTGGTGGGACCCAATATCATTTATGGTTGTCTTTGGCTTGGCTTTAGCATTACACTCGTTACCTGTGGGAGCTGCTATTGTTTTAGAAAATTAAAGCCGCCACTTCAAGTGGCGGCTCTTGTACTCCCCTTAACCACGGTTAATCCAGCAGTATTTCGGAAATTATTTTTAACCCAGCAGTATTTTGGAAATTATTTATTTATTTAGCATTATTCCGGGAAAAAACTCCATTTTAGTATAACACAAAACTCATGTTAGTAATTAACACATAATATTTAATAATCAAGTAAATATTCATCCTAAATTAAAAATTGAAAAATAAAGCATTAATATCTAAAATATTTTATAATACAAATTTAAAAACTTAAGTTGCAAGATTGATTGAAAAAAAACCAACATCAAATAAAAACCAACGTCAAATAACGTTGTATATGATATACTTTCATAATAATTGAGTAACAAATTAAAGCAAAAAGATTCTTAAATTAAAAAGAAAGAAAAACAAACAAGAAGAAGAACAACTAACGAGCAACGTACGAAAAAGCAAAACAAAAAAGACACACAAAACAAAAACAACAGTCGGAGTAGCAAAGAACGAAGTGAAACGGCGGCAAAAAAAAGGAAGGAAGAACGGATAGAAGCAACGGAAAAGGGACGGAAAGCAGGAGCAGTTACTTAACAATAAGGCTATAATTTGGAACTAATTACAAAAATGCCGGCTGTACCATGCTCATGGTACAGCCGGCTGTACCATATAATTTACGAAAAAAATGTAAACCCCCATTTATGTCCAAACTCACATACCAAATAATAATAATAATAATAATAATAATGATGATGATAATAATAATAATAATAATAATTATTATTATTATTATAATAACATTTCAAAACATTTATAAAAAGTTATAAAACACTCTTATGTCTAAACCATTCTGTCTAAATCAATATATATATATATATATATATATATATATATATATATATATATATATATATATATATATATATAGGGGAGAGTTCAAGTGAGAACAACCTCTAGGGAAAGAAATAAGAACATCATCTAGCCATCCAAAACTTTAATCGTCCGTCTCAAATTAATAGATACAAATTTAAAGAAAAAAAGAATCTGCACATAACGAGAAAGCATGCGTAATAATAATAAAGGCCAATTTGGTAAAAGAACACTATGGCGGTTGGAAAGCTTAAAACAATTAACACTGCAGAACTTCTCTCCCGATTATCGTGCGCGCGTATTTCAAAACACTTATGTGCAGAGAAACTTCGATTGAGAAACAAACTCGAAGGCTCAAATCTGAGGCGCGGCGTAAACTGATAGATCAATCGGGGAAGAAACCCTAGAAACAGGTACGCCGGCAATGGGGAAGAGGAATGCAACTGGAGCGACATCAACAATAGGTGATAGTGCAGATGAAGGTAATTAATATTTATGTATTTTACAAGTATTTCGTAAGAGTGCAATGTATTGGAAATCCATAATAAGAATACTATGATTTAAAGTTGAATCTCTTATATTTCGAAATTGCAGAACCTTTAAGTTTTTTTCGCACTATTTAAACAAAACAGGGCAGATTGTAAGGTAATTATAAAATTAGAAAACTGAGGAAATCAAAAACAGTTATTAAGACTATATGAAGTGCATGATGAAATTGTATTAGTGAAAACGATACTGATTAATTAATATTTCATTATTGAAATGGTATAGTGAAACTGACACCGATTAATGGGGCACTAATATGAAATGAGTATGTACCACTTTTTGAAAGTCAATAAGTGCAGAAAACCTAAATACAATGTGCATTGTTTTGTTAAATGTCAATTAACTGATTCGATGGCTTTCCTACCCTCATAGAGCTGCATGTTATTGAATGTGAAAGTGGGTTGCATTATCTTAGTGGTCATAGGAGTATGCATATTCTGTCAATGGCATGCATCACAATGTAAGATAAGTGCACTATAGAGAAGAACAATGCATAGTTTATTACACCAGAGTGCATCAACTAGTAATTCATGTGCAAAAAAGTATGTCACTAAGCACCAATCAACTGGAGAAATAAAAGTATGATACCCTGATATGAGACTGCACTATTTAGAGCATATGAGCATATGTTGAGTTCATTAAGACCTGAGTTGTGATTGTTGTATATGTGACAGTTTTTGGAAAGTCAATAAGTGCAGAAAACCTAAATACAATGTGCATTGTTTTGTTAAATGTCAATTAACTGATTCGATGGCTTTCCTACCCTGATAGAGGTGCATGTTATTGAATGTGAAAGTGGGTTGCATTATCTTAGTGGTCATAGGAGTATGCATATTCTGTCAATGGCATGCATCACAATGTAAGATAAGTGCGCTATAGAGAAGAATAATGCATAGTTTATTACACCAGAGTGCATCAACTAGTAATTCATGTGCAAAAAAGTATGTCACTAAGCGCCAATCAACTGGAGAAATAAAAGTATGATACCCTGATATGAGACTGCACTATTTAGAGCATATGAGCATATGTTGAGTTCATTAAGACCTGAGTTGTGATTGTTGTATATGTGACAGTTTTTGGAAAGTCAATAAGTGCAGAAAACCTAAATACAATGTGCATTGTTTTGTTAAATGTCAATTAACTGATTCGATGGCTTTCCTACCCTGATAGAGGTGCATGTTATTGAATGTGAAAGTGGGTTGCATTATCTTAGTGGTCATAGGAGTATGCATATTCTGTCAATGGCATGCATCACAATGTAAGATAAGTGCACTATAGAGAAGAACAATGCATAGTTTATTACACCAGAGTGCATCAACTAGTAATTCATGTGCAAAAAAGTATGTCACTAAGCACCAATCAACTGGAGAAATAAAAGTATGATACCCTGATATGAGACTGCACTATTTAGAGCATATGAGCATATGTTGAGTTCATTAAGACCTGAGTTGTGATTGTTGTATATGTGACAGTTTTTGGAAAGTCAATAAGTGCAGAAAACCTAAATACAATGTGCATTGTTTTGTTAAATGTCAATTAACTGATTCGATGGCTTTCCTACCCTGATAGAGGTGCATGTTATTGAATGTGAAAATAATGTATGCTCTGTTACCATAAATGATAAGTGAAAGGTACAATAAGTGATTCAATGATAGTTCTAACTTGTAGAAAGTGATAATTAAATTACGTAATAGTGCAATGAAATTAATTGTGTAGGCTCTGAGGGTGCAAATTTGGAGATTGTTAAAAGTGACAAAGGGAAAATGGAAGAAGTAACTCTTGTTGTCAGAAAAAGGAAAATGTTACAGGATGCAAAACTAAAAAGGAGGGATAAGAGGCATAAGGAACAAGTAGAAGAAGATGAGAGTGATGATGACTTTGAGATACGACCGCTTCAAACAGTTGAAGGTACAGACCTAGTAGAGGACGGGGACAGGGAAAAAGCAAAGGTAAGTATCAAAGAAAAAAAAGCGGGATTTAGAGCATTAAGAACAAGGTCATCACCACACTTACTAGTGAAAGCACTAAACAAGATGACTGAACTTCAGAAAGAGGATATTAAGAAGATAGGTTTTGGTGCACTAATTGATTTGGACATTTCAGAAATTCCATCAAGAATGGCTTTCTGGTTGGTTGATAACTTCGATGCAAAAAAATGTTCGTTGGTGCTAGACAATGGCACAATTGTGCATATTACAGAACAAGATGTTGCTCAAGTTTTAGGTTTCCCATTGGGTGGTAAGACTATTGTTGTAAAGAAGAAAAGTGAAGATTGTGAGTTGTTAAGTGAATGGAAGGCAATGTTTGACAAAGAAGAAACCAAAATCAGTCCCTCAGATATTTGTGCACAAATGAGACTTGAAACTCAAGGTGGTGAGTGGTTCATCAGACATTTTATTGTCCTGCTTGTGTCTGTTCTACTTGATAGCACACCAAATGGGTATGCAAACCCATTAATAATGAACAATCTACATGATGTTGAGAAAATAAAGGACTTGGATTGGTGTGACCATGTGCTGTCTTTATTGGTTGAAGGTAAGTGGTCATGGCAGAAAAAGAAGGACAAAGTCTTCACAGGACCATTGCTATTTCTGATGGTAAGCTTACACATTTTCTATGTTTTTTCAAGTTTGTGGTTTATCTTATTTATATGTGTACTAACAATAACTTTTTGCAGTTGTTTTATGTGGATAGAGTTGAGTTGTTCAAAAGAAAAGTGAAGAGGTCTTTACCATTTATAAAGGGATGGAACGGGAAATTGTTAAGGGAGAGAGAAGTGCTAGAGATTGAAACTGGAGGATTTGGAATGGGATGTTGTGTTGGTCCAATGGATTTGGAAGATGGTATGGGTAATTTGCAGACTGAAGATAAGGAAGTTGGAAATGGATGCATAGTGCATACAGAATCAACTGCTAAAGAAAATTCTGAGGTAAAAATATGAATAATTATATATGTTTTTTAGAAGTGGTTGTAGGAGTATACCACTGACTTAATACACAAAGTGATTATCAAGGATTGGTAAAGTAAAGTATAAATGTGCATGTGTAAAGTATAATTGTGCATTTAATCTAGGATTAAAAATGTTATCTATGAAAATGTGAATTTTTGGTGACCAACTGATAGTGTATGGGTTTCATTTTGTTTCAGTAATATATACATGAATTTCCGATTCATAAAAGTGCATATGCTTATGAATTAGTATGAAAGTGCATAGCCAATGAATTAACATTTATGTGCAATGCAAGTAATAACACTAACACATGTGTTTCATTATAAATAGGAATTTGTGAGGAGATTCACACAATTGAGCAAAGAAATAGTAACCAATGTAATTGATGTGATCAATATCTTTGAAAAAGCACCACAAAGCTTAATTGATGATGAAAACTTCATAAAGCTGCAAGAATCTGCGCAACAGTTAATTGGGCTGGGGAATAGGAAACAAGCTCTGGATGTTAGGGAAGAAAATGATGGAAGAAACAACGAGCAGAGAGAAGATGATGAATATTGGAGCAATCCTAAGACCATAGCAGCTATTGAGAGGGTAATAAATGCAATGGCTAAAAAGGCATTTTCTGAAAAAGGCATTGAAGACATTCCCTCTTTCTCAATCGGACTGACACCAGATGAAGCCACACAATGGGGTCCCATATCTGAGGTATGTGCACAGTTTGAAAACGAATACTTTCAGAAGCAAAGTTCTGCTCGTGTTGAGAAGAACAATGCAGCAGGAAGTGAGGTACCACAGGGCGACAAAGAGGTATGCTATCATTACAAGACACAGTAGATGCAATACATAAAATTAATTTTAACATGTTGATAATGTCATTGCAGGTAGAAAATCATGTTGAAGTCCCATATGAAATGATAAAAGAGAAGGAAGGAGCCAATCTTGAGGTAATTAAAATTCAACTTCGAACAATATGTATATAAAGAAGTGTATAAACGACTCTTGTATTGGAGTAACAGGACCCAAAGAGGAACAACAGTATGAAGAACAGTGAGTTGGATTTAGGAAAAGGAAGGATGGAATTGAGGTCAAGGAGAGGAAAGGCTGCTGAAGATCTAAAAGCTTCATACATGGCAAGGATAATAGACTCGAGTGTTAGTTTAAATACAAATGAAAAGCTAATCTACAGATGGGTCATGCAAGAACAAGCAGAGAAAGGGTAAGTATATAAAAAAGTGCATCAATAAATAGGTGTTTTAAAGTTAGACTAAGGTAAGAATTGTAATCTATGTTTTAATGTAGGGATGAAATCATTTTCAAGTTCAAAGATTTGTCTATAATGCGTGCTGACATGCTTACACTCAGAGACAAAAAGTACATGTCCATGAAGGTACTTGACGCATGGACAGTATACTTGAATAGTAATGAGAAGTTACGAAGTAAAGACTCCCCATGTAGGTTGTTTGCAAGATCATATCCCTGTGTAAGTGTTTATCCAATTAGTTTTTATAAGATATGAAATTAAAAATGAAACTATCTGACTTAAGAAGATTGCATGACTAAATATATGATAATAAAATGTTTTGCAGCCATATACGATGGATGATCCTATTGAAGAAAATGAGATGTACAGTGTTTTCAAACAGACACTAGAGATTGCATTGGAAGCAGTGAAACCTGATGTTAAACTGGAGGATGTTGATGTGGTAATTGAATTTGAAAATAGTGAGAAAAAAAGACATATAAAAATAATTGCATCCATTGATATTATTAATGCAAATATATAACTATACCATCATTATGTGCAGTTTTTCTTTCCAATTGTGCAACCAGAACACTTTTACATTATGTGCTTCAACATGCAAAATCAGCATGTCGAGATACTGGATAGCTCATCACTTGAAATTGAATTTGAGCACAAATATTCTGAGATGCCATTAGTACTGGTAAGTGTGAATATATTTACATTTATTACTTAACAAGTGTGAACAAAATAACATTATGTATCGTTTGTTATTGATTTTGCAAACAGAGGGACATGTTTGTGGAATTTCTGAGAGAAAGAGGACTGGACAATAATGGCAAGGTCTTCCGTACACCATCTATAAACTGCCTAAAAATGGGTTGGAGGGAAGTGAAAAATGAGCACGAAAACGGACTATGGACCATGAGACACATGGAAACATACAATGGCCAAGGAACAAAAGATTTTGACTGTGGTATTAAAAAGGGAGATGCAAAGTTATTGAGTTCTTTAAGAATGAAGTACTGTGCAATATTGTCCACAACAGAAGTGAATGAGATGAAGGGAAAAAATCTGAACGGAGTGAAGGAGTTTGGAAAAACAAAGAAATGAAGAACTGATGTTGACATTTAAATAATTTCATGTACTTTTGTTTTGGATTTGGTTTGGTGTACAACACCACAATGACATTTAAATGCTTGCCTTTATATCTTTGGTTGTGAATTTGACAATTTGGATCTGGTTTGGTGTTTACAACCACAATGACATTTACGTAGTTTCAATTATATTTGTGTTTAAAGCTAATGTGAACTTCCAGTTGTGTAATGTATGAATGAAATTGAACTTTTTGTGTAATCACAAAAGAAAATTCTTTCCAATATTCAAGTAAATAAGATACCTCAAACAATCACTTACGAATTATTTATTTCACTTGTATTATGAATATGTTAAGTTGAAGTTTGAAGTTGTGAAACAGATTTTTTGAATTTAAATAAATGTGCATTATTTAGTCAAATCCAGATTAAGTGAATCAGGACATTCATACACTGATAAAAGTGCACAATATCTTACTCCTTAATATAAGTACACATTGTTTGTCAAAATCATGCATCATATACTCTAGAGGAAAACAAAGCACAAGTTATTGTATAACAGTGCATGGAATTAGGACTTAATGTGCAAAAGAGTATGGATTAGAACTTAATAAAGACAGTTACTTAAAAAATCACAAAACCATTCATAAGCAAATCCGTAATGTATGATTGTTGCATAACAGAAGATAAAGATTTGGGTACAAGAACAAATTCACAGCAAGTGTGAAAAAGAGACATGAAAAATTGAAACTCCAACACATTAGACAGTTTGAATTTGGTTATTTCTCAAGATTTAGGGGACAATTCCTGCTGTCATGGAAAGCAAGCTCATTACAAGTTCGGCACAGTCTTTTAGACTTCTTGGAAGCTTCAATTGACTTCTCTTTACCGCCCTTTATTCTCTTCCCACAGCCCTTGTTCCTTGCAATCTCGGGTGGATGCACATTAACTTCACTCGGGATAGAAGAACCATAGAATGAGCTAATGATGTCGTTTTTTGTGCCACTAGATCCACTTGATGCCTCTAAGGACATAAACTTGTCCTTTTGAACTTTGATATGGTCTGCAAATTCTTTGAACAAATCTGGGTGATGCTCAACAAATCCCACACAAAAATAAATATCAGACCATAGATGTTTAACTTGATGTTTATCTTTTTCCATAGAAGCACATTGATCATCTAAAATGTCACCAACTTTTGACTTCGACCTAATTACAGAACTCTTACACCAGCGTGGCAACACAAATTGGGAAGGTAAGGTTTCAAACTTAAGGTCCTTCAGAACAACAAAAATATGGCGACACAGCAACCCAAACCTTTCAAAATGCTTACAGCTACATAATGCACTATCAGAAGAAACATTGTGCACTACATCAAAAACCAGACCCCGTTCATCAGATATGGAGTACTGAAGAACATCACCAACAGTTTCCACGCGCAAAACACGACAAGAAAAGCAAGCAGCAGAAATCTCTTGTTGCACTTCATAGAAAACAGACAGATTGTAGATTGAAGAACAAAATCTTTCGATACCTAAGGGAGTATTGTATACAGGAATGGATGACTCAGAAACTGAGTTCAGTTGAGCGTAAATATGCCTCTGTGAGTCCATGGCACTATCAAACTGCATAAAGAATTCAACCAAACTAAAATGTGGATTGGTAAACTCATTAAAAAAATTATTCTCGCTCTCCGATCTTGATGTTGTCCTAAGCATTCCAGCCATAAATAAATCACGGAAATATGCAGGAATCCAAAACTTACGAATGTCAAACATGTGAGAGAACCACTTATGGCTTAACAAGTCATATTCCTCCATGACAGACATCCACTTCCTTTCAAAAGATTCAACTTGCAGATGGTTATTCCATACAACACTATTTATTTTTGTCAAAAATTCTGTATCCTGACTAAGAGTGGGACCAACCTTGGCAGTTAACTTGGACATGATATGCCACATGCAATAGCGATGACGGGAGACTGTGAAGACCTTTTCAATAGCAGCGCGTATCGCTGGATCTTGGTCAGTTATGATGCACGTTGGTTCCTTAGTCATTGCACTAATAAAAGAACGAAAAATCCACTCATATGACTCAATGTCTTCCTTCGAGATCAGGCCAGCAGCGAAAGTGATGCACTTCTTATGGTTATCTACACCCGTAAAAGGGGCAAAAACCATATTGTACCTAATACAATAAATGAAATATAAAAATGCATCAGAAGATAATATTTGTGCACATAATAAAAACCAAGTGAGAAGATAATAAAAGCAGACATCAACTATCAATTTTTAAAACTTAAAAGAACACTATTTAAACAAATACTATACAAACACAAAAACGATGTAATAACATGTACCTATTGGTCTCAAAAGTCGCGTCAAAGGAGACCACATCACCAAATAGAGCATAATTCCTTCTACATACAGGATCAGCCCAAAAAATACGAGTCAATTGATCACTGGCATCAACATCATAAGCGAAGAAAAACTCAGAACAAGTCTCCCGCTTTCTAAAAAGTTTATCAACCAGCATTTGTGCATCAACACCAGAAACATAAGCCTTCAAATCACGCTTGAAGTTCTTAAAGTCAACAGCAGTTGCGCCAATATTCGAATACCCACCCACAGTTTCTTTATACAAACGATAACATTTCATTGTTCCAATATTAGCTTTGGAACAATTCAAAACAAAATTTTGATGGCCAACATCAAGAGCTCGATTTACTTTTAGAAATGGGCGAGATGGGGTAGACGTCATGGGATGCTTATGCCGCTCTTCAAAACGGGTAACCAAATATCCATGTCCAGCATGTAACCTCATAACTAAACGTGCACGGCAACCAACACGATTTGATACACGACGTCTCTTATTCGAAGGAATGCCTTTTGGTTCTGAGCTTTTCACTTCCTCATTACAGCCAGCAACATTCTCAGAATTAGAAGAGCTAGATTCTGTATTCATGGATTCAGTTCCATCACCAACACAAGTGCTGGATTCAATATTGCTAGGTTTAGGCAGATTTTTGAATCCTTCTCTGTTACACAGAATATACTTCCACACACAAGCTCCATCACTACTCTTTCTAGAGGTACTTTTACGGATATCAAAGCCACAAAGAGTAGCATACTGTTTGTAGAATTGAACCCCAGCAGCAACATTTGTGAAAATCATACCAACATGAGGCTTATAGCTCTCAGCACACTCAGGAGTCCAATATTTGGTAAAGTTTGGAGAAACTTCAGTTTTAGATGAATGACAAGAGTTTCGTGGAGAATTAGAATTACTGAACTCGTAAGTAGAATCTACAAATATATAAATAGCAAGTATCAATAAAATTCATAAATAGATAAAACCTTAGTGCATTCAAAATTGAAAAGTGTAAGAATAAGGTATATCAGTAGTTTATCAGGTAAAAAGTGCAGCAAACTGGGAAGAACAAAAATCAGGTCCGGTTAATATAAAAAACTTCAGGAATGCAAAAACGCAACAACATATGTTGACATAACAACATTGAATCGGATTAAAAGAAAAACCTTCAAACAACACAACAACATTAGATTTGCAGCGAAATAGAAGAAATAGTTATATAAGACAGTCTGATAAGGAAAACAAGGGTAACAAGTAGTAGGGTATCAATCGACGTACATAAACTCAGCAATTATAAAATATAAACGATTAAATTATGAAATTTATCAATTGAAAGACTCACTGTGATCCATAGCGAGAAGATGAAATTGTTAGCAAATTTGCTATTCGACGATGGCAGTTGTATTCAATGTCGGATATTCAGCGAAGATCGAGGACAAAATAATGATGAAATCTTCCAAGTAGAGAAGGCCACAGATATGGAAGAACGATCGAAGACGCAGAGTAAAATTGGAAACAAAAACGGTTATGGAAACTTTGATTCACAGAAGGATCGTAACTTGGAAGGAGAACAAGAGTAAATGACAGTAATGCCCCTAGACGATTAGCGAACTTAGGAGAAATAATATTTGAATCCAATGGCTCTAATTGATTCTTATTTCTCTCATGAGATCTTATTCTCATATGATCCAATCTATATATATATATATATATATATATATATATATATATATATATATATATATATATATATATATATATATATATATATATATATATATATATATATATATATATATATATATATATATATATATGTTTTGGTTCAAATAAGAACACGATCTTATGAGAGAAATAAGAACGAATCTGGACCGTTAGATTTGCTTCAAGTGAAATTCAGTGTGCATTAGATGAAACTGTAATGTGCATTAGGTGAAATTGAAATGTGCATCACAAAGGGTACGATAGATTGACATTATGTGCAATTGAATTGTGCATGACGTGAAATTGAAATGTGAACTAGGTGAAACTGAAATGTGCAGAATAAAAAGTACGATGTGATGTTATTTTGTACTTTTTTTCCACACATATCAGTTTCATCTAATGCACACTTGAGTTTAACTTTTTATTTTGCACATTTCAATATCATTTAATGCACATTTCAGTTTTACCAAATGCACAATTTGGTTTCACATAATATAATCCAACGGTCCAGATTCGTTCTCATTTTTCTCCTAAGATCTGTTCTTACCGGAACCGCTCAGCCCTTAGATTTGCATCTAATCTTACAACGCAGTAAACTTATAGAGTAAATATATGAACTTATAACCAATAAATCATAACTTATAAAGCTCTCCGTAATAATTACTAAAATGCCACCGCGTCAAAAAAAATTCCAGGTTTCTGTAATTTTTTTTTGCGGTGGCATTTTTGTAATTATTTTCGAGGGGTTTATAAGTTATGATTTATTGGTTAAAAGTTCATATATTTAGTCTATAAGTTTAACTTCGCAGCTCTCAGCCTAAGAGCACTTCTCACCTGATTCGCTCCCTATATATATATATATATACACACAAATGATCCTGTCCGGACGTCCGGACAGGAACCGCCGTCCGGCCGGCGGCGTTTGGCCGCCTTCCCGGTGGAATTTTTTGATGAAATTTTTATGGCATGTTCTTCATCAAGTCTAGTTTATCCACACAAAAATTCAGCCAAAAACTCAATCGGTAAGGTCGTCAAATGATTTTTGCAAGTTAACTGGTCCGGAATATGTATTTTCCGGACCAGTTAACTTGCAAAAATCATTTGACGACCTTCCCGATTGAGTTTTTGGCTGAATTTTTTTGTGGAAAAACTAGACTTGATGGAGAACATGCCATAAAAATTTCATCAAAAAATTCCACCGGGAAGGCGGCCAAACGCCGCCGGCCGGACGGCGGTTCCTGTCCGGACGTCCGGACAGGATCATTACTATATATATATAGGGGATGGTTTAGGTGAGAATGGAGTCTCAGGAGAGAAATGAGAATGAAATCCAACCTTCCATTCTCTCAATCTAATGGCCTAGAAATTGTAGATAAAGAGGCCATATATTCGGACTAATCAAGTTGTAAAAAAGGCAACATCAACTTGATATTTATTAATGGGTACAATGGTAAAAATGATTGGCGTGGTTGTCATGGACGAGTGATCTAAATAGGAAGTAATCCTACTTTTTAGGATAACCATTAATACGGGAGTAACTCCCACACAATTAGCAAGATTTGTTATTATAAATATTTCTTTATTATTTAATTCTCTTTCCAATTTTTTAATTCTCACTCATATAATTTGAATAGTCAATTCGGAAAAATATCTTTAAAATGTGCATTGTTATTCATGTCAAATCCGTTTATTTTCATATGCAATATTCCCATGGCACAATCAATATGTGTTTGTTGATTGCACTCCAATATTGAATAATTGCACTTTTATTTGTAATATTATGCACCACAAATATTAGTCATATTTATGTGAATGAGTTTTATTTTAGTAATATTTTCAGAAAAACTCTTGTTTTAAAAATCAACAATATTTATCAATGGACCAAATTTAAAGACAAATAGCATTTTTATTGTATTAATTTGCACTTTTTTAAATTGCACATTTATGACATTGGCTTGCACTTGCTATAATATTTACTGCACTTTATGCATACCATTGTGCACTTTCATACATCTTTCTAATCAAAATGATTTTAAAAAATAAAAATAAATAAACACGGGTGTAAAAGAATACATGGGTATGCTATCATGTGCATTTAAGTATATACAAAAGTGCACTAGCATATCACACTTTCTAAAATCTTACATTGATGCTTTTACTCAAAATGAAATGCACTTTAAACATGTGCATTAAAATATAAAGAGGGGTGCATTATTGTTTCAAACTTTCTAAAAATTTACACAAACGTTGCAGTGCAGTTATTATACTAAAAAGGTGCAACATATACAATTATGTTGACGCAATTTTTAAATAAAATATAAAGCATAATAATAAATGGAAAATTATTTTAAAATAAAATAGAAGATTTATGTAAACATAAAGTGATAAAATGACCGAGTTTTTTTTACAAAAAAATGAAAATGGGACGTAGGGTCTTTCTTTGTGACACCGAATTTGGGAATCATGAAGGTGTGGAAGAATCAAATGAGATAAAAGAATTTATTTTGATTGGCTAAGCAAATGAAAAATAATTTGATATAAACTCTCTTAAGAATCGTAAATCAACAAAAGTAAACAGGATGATTTGTCATGCAAGATTATAGGATGTTAGTTATGGAAACAATTGCAAGATTGTAGAGAAGTAACCGTGTAACTTTAATATGGTGTCAAATTCTCTTATTTGCCCTTAATGAAGTGCTAAAATAATCCAAGATCGAATGGCTATAAATTATTCTCATTTCTCTCCTAAGATGGTTTTCTCACATGATCATTATTCTATATATATATATATATATATATATAGGGAAAAGATCAGGTGAGAAGTGCCCCTTAAAATGAGAAGTGAGAAGTCATCTCAGCCCTTGGATTTGCATATGATCTTACAATGCAGTAAACTTATAGACTAAATATAGGAACTTATAACCAATAAATCATAACTTATAAAATTCTCCTTAATAATTACGAAAATGCCACCGCGTCAATTTTTTTTCCAGGTTTCCGTAATTTTTTTTGCGGTGGCATTTTTGTAATTATTTTTGAGGGGTCTATAAGTTATGATTTATTGGTTAAAAGTTCTTATATTTAGTCAATAAGTTTAACTTCACAGTTCTCAGCCTAAGAGCACTTCTCACCTGATCTGCTCCCTATATATATATATATATATATATATATATATATATATATATATATGTATGTATGTATGTATATATATATGTATATATATAGGAAAATGTTCATGTAAGGTAGGCCAAAAAGTTGGAAATTTATGCCTCTTTCGGTTGAGGTGCTTCCAGGACAATTTTTTTGATGAAATTTTGTGAGCAGGTTCTACATGAAGTGTATGTTATGTCTACCAAATTTCAGCTTAAAATGTAATATGGAAGTGAGTTAAATAAATTTTTTAAAAATGGGCAGTTTTTTGTACATAAAACATGTAGTTTTTTTTAATAATTTATTTAACTAACTTCCCAACTGAATTTTAAGCTGGCATTTGGGGGACATATCTTACACTTCATTGAGAACATGTTCACAAAATTTCATCAAAAAATTCAACCCGGAAGGACCTCAAATAAAAGAGGCCTTAAACTTGTAACTTTTAGGCCTAAACACTACCCTATATATATTTGTCTTTTTTTTTTTTGGAAAAAGTGAATTTTCATTGAAGAAAAATAAACAGTACAATCTAAAAAAGAAATAAAAGAAACAAAATTAAAAAAAAAGTACAGAGAAAGTAAAACCTAAGATTACACCCAAGGAAATTCTCTAGACTGCGAAGGGATTTATGTGCGTAATACTTCGTATAAACTATATATCTAATGATGCTTTTTTTTATTATCAACAATGCTAAATATCTAACAAAAAATTAGAGTCATTTGACTTTGATACATACAATTATGAACTTATTTCACACATCATACGTATAATCTCTCATATGTGTGAGTTAGTGTTTATTTCAAAAACTTTGAAATATATTTATGTATAGTAATCATAAAAAATTGATTCACTTTAGTATATTGTGCACGACTTAAAAATGCATCGATTCATTACATTTTAAAGAAAAATGAAACACCACAAATTAAATTCTAAAAACACATATTAAGTCATAGCACATGTAGAAAAAGTTGTTTCAAGTTATATTTGACTAATATTCAACTTATGATCAAATCGTGCCCGATTCGATATTCGTATATGTTCCGTTAACTATTCGTATTGTTAAATAAATATGAATACAAATTGAAATTAATATATGTTTCATGTTCGAATTCGGATTCGTATTCGAAAAAATAAATATAAATACAAATACAAAATCACACTATTCGACTCGATTGGGTTCGTTTATGACCCCAGTGATAAGTGTTTGTTCAAAGGGACAATGCCCCCGTTTGGACCATAGCAGATTTGCTCAAACCGCTGATATATTACAATAGGAACACGCTCTAAATTGCAGCAAGTCAGTAGTAATCCGCTAGAAAACAAACAGACCCAATAAGCACAGTGCCATATACATAGTAGTGTGGTTTGAATTTGTATCATAAATAGTGCAATGCCGTTTTCTTACATGATATTTGGCGGAGAGTCGTGCCAAAAAAAAAGTTATTTGATCGTTTTCTACACAACCCATATAAACCGCCACTCCCTTAAACAAGGACAAAACTACAAAAGAGATTAGTGAGATATAGTTGTAAATTCATTCCTACCCTTTTTCTTCATACTCTAGCCTTAGAACAGTTCTTCAACTCAGTTAGACAATAGACATGAAATACGTAGTATTATATTACACT